CCACGAGAGATGCGCAAGAATTTAATACCAAAACATTATTCATTCAAAGCTTAATTTCTGGGAAACACACCAGAAGACTGCAGGAAGAGTTTATAAATAACTTAATTATACTCATCACTTGTCCCCTTAGAAGTACCTTGTTTCAACACTCTCAGAAAGAGCTGGGAAAGAAAACCCTCAACATGTGACTTGACTATAAAAATGCTTCATCTACATATTTGTCAATTTTATTTGCAGATTTAGATAATTCCAATAAATTAAGCAGCAAAAGAGATTTCCACAGTCAAACCATATAGACCCACCAGACCTACCTTCTACCAGTAAAGGTTACATCTCATCTTAAAACTCAAATAAAATTTTTTCTATATGTGCCTATGTTTTATTTTCTACAGAGAAAAGTGCTTTTTAAAGCTTTCATAGTATGGAACACAAATCACACACTAAAATCAAGGTAAAAATAACATTGAGATAATTGAATCACGTTATGCACTTGATAACAAATTACAAGGGCAAAACACTAATGGTTTCCTCATTAATATTTACTAAAGCGATGTTAAAAGTAGCTAAAATTAGAAGTTCTTTGTGAAGCGGTAAGGGATGCCTGATATCTCCTCTATAAATGGGCGCGCAGCCAGAGCATATTCTCTCGTTAGCCTTTGGGGGAAAAAAAAAAGCAAAACTGGTCAACCATGGTGGTGCGTGCCTGTAATCCGAGACTCAGCAGGCTGAGGCAGGAGGACCGCTGCAAGTTTGCGGCCATCCTGGGATACATAAAGATCAAAGCCAGCCTGAACTATACAGTGAGACCCTATGTCAAAAAGAAAAAAATGAATAAATTTTAATTTTAAAATCAGAGAGAAACGCAATCACTTTTGCTAAGTTTGTCCTTTTAGGTCTTTATTCTTCTCAGCTGCTCCTACTAGCGGAAGCGTCCAACAAACTGAGCCCCGCAGAACCTTGGAATCCACAGTGCCCTGTAGGTTCTGCTCACAAGGCCCCTTCTAACTCCCGAGGCTGCCAAGCATCGGGATTCTGTCTCTGGGCCTCTTCTCACCCCTCACCCTCAGCAAGCTCAAGGTCTCCGATGCAAGAGGAGGCCACCTGCTGTCCCCCGGCAGCTATTTCTCACTGGCGCTCTTTGACTCCGGGCCATGCTCAAGGTTGACTCTGGGCTACAGTCCGTCTTGGGCCTGTGAACACAGCTCAAAGGCACACAGATTTCCAAAAGCAGAAGACTGCCTGTCCCTCCTCACACAGCCTTGTCCACAGATGACCTCGGACATGGTGGATGCTGAGACCTGAGCGTGTAGGATAGCTCTGCACCCACAAGCACCCATGCTCTACGCCTTTCCTTGGGGTCTCCATGCTCCACCGGGATGCGTGTGAGCCCCAGTGTGCTCACATGGCCAGTTCACAGCACGGTGCTCTTGCAAATGGCCCAAACCTTCCAAAGCAGCCCAAAACGAAGCCAATGACAAACTGAAACCGAGCTAAACGTGGAGCAACCCTAACCCCGGCAGCCCATCTCAGGGCACATCATGGCATCAGCTTCAGGCTACCCCAAGAGCGTGCTGGCCGCACTGATGTTCCCATTCCTGGCTGATGTTGTTCAAATGACCTTTGCCCCTGAGGACCAACAGCCCAGAGCAGCTCTGCCACCTCAGGGAACAAACAGCTGCTGTTCTGAGTGCCAGCTGTTCCCAGGCAGAATCACACGAAGGCTGGGCCAACGCTCCTTTTCTTTTTAACCAATGATGGGGAGAAAAAAAAATAAATTCTTTCTGATTCAGCTATTTCAATCTTGAAAGTATGAATTGGGAGTGTTGACAGCCAAAAGAGCCGCTGCACTTCAATCCTAAACATTAAAAATATCTTTGTTTGTTCTGGAATGTCATTCGCTGGTATTTGGGCCTGTGCCCCATGAATCCTTTGTGACTATGAAGCCATTTCACAGCTCTCGGACTCCGCCTGGGACAGAATCCCAAACAGAAGGTCCTGGGCCTGGGGTAAGGAGACCCCGTGGGCAGATACAGGAAAGAATTTGCACTCTATGTGCCCTGGACTGGGCTTCCCATGGCTCTGACCTCTGCCCTTGGAGCTGGCGAGCACCTGTCTGATCCAGCCAGCCTGGAAGACAGGGATGTGATCATCCCGTGAGGTTAAGTTCAAAGGAAAGCCAAAGGTCACCCACCATGCACGGGCTGCCAGCTTTCACCCTGTCATTGTCCTAGCCATGTGACTCAGTGGCAGTGAAGTCTTGGAACCTGGTCCACCCTCATTGCCCAGGGTTAGCACAGGGGTCAGTCGTTATGTGGGAGCCTGGAGTCTGGCCCAAAATGAAAACGTGCTACAGCTCTGTGACAGAGGAAGGAACCACAGAGCCTCCTGCACTGCTCAGCCAAAGCGTGGCTGGGCGTTGGGCCTACTGTGCACCTCCACCTCCGGGGGCCCAGCTGCCACCTGCATCAGGGCTTGCATCTGTGGCCACCCGATTTGCTGCAAAGCGCATCCCTGCTGCACAGAGCAGGCTATTTCTTCAGCAAGAGAGAGAGAGAGGAGCCCCCACAGGATCACAGCATCCCGCCTGCAGATCACGGCTGCGCGCCTTGTCCAAGTGACTCTTCAGAACCCCCTGCAGCCTGTGGTCCTCTGTCCCAACCCATCCCTCTCACACCCCAGCGGTGACTCTGGCAGCCACTGTCCTTCACACAGTCACCCCATGCCTGCATGGGCAGGGCACAATCCTCTCCTGCTAAACAGGACCGGGCATCTACTCACCAGGTCCCACCCCTCACCGTCCCCTCTCCCCATGCTTCCCATCTGCCCTACTGGGATCTGTTAGTCTCCCTGGCTGACCCGCACTCCCCACCCAGCCCCTGCTCCTGTCCTCTCACTAGGAAGCCTGAGCCCTTCTGCTTTTATTCCTTCAAACTCCCCTTCCCTTTCCCTCACCTTGGACTGTCCTCTGTCACATCTCCACCTGGTGCATGCTGATCCTCCCCTCAGCTTGTGCACAGGGCAACTTCTCACCCCCTTTATACCCAAACCTTCTTAGGCCACAGCCTAAGTGGAGTAACCAATCTGACTACCCACACTGAGGGACTGGGCACTGTAACAGACCGCCGCCTCTCAAGTCCATCCACAACCACTCTGAGCAGGCATCTTGTTTTTGCTTCTACTCGCTTGTTTCCTTTAGGTCTCAGAGATGGAGCCCAGGCTCTTTTCACTGAGCTACATCCTATTTTTTTTTTTTTTAAATAGAATCTTGCTAAATCACCATGTAGTCCAAGTTGGGTTTGAATTTGCAATCCTCCTGCCTCAGCCTCCCGCAGTACTGGGATTATAGGGTTGTAAAAGCATGCCTGGCTATCCTGGTACCTTACAGGCTCTGTCTTCAAAATATATTCAGAAAGCGGTCTTTTTTCTCTGCTTTCTGTCCCCCACAAAGCATGTGGACACTGTCTCTCTCCGGAACCCCTGAGAAAAGCTCTTCGCACTCCACCCTTGCCGCCCACCTCGGCAGCCTCTTTCCAACCCAGAGACCAGAAGGCACACTGAAGCGGAAATGCGACTTTCTTTCTTCCTTTGCTTTAACTCCACAGAAGCCTAGCACCACATCACAGACCTGTCATTTCAGCACAGCACTCCGGGAGGCTGAGCCAGGAAGATTTCAAGTCCAAATCCCACCTGGGCAATGGACTGTCCCAATTAAACCTACAAGCAGTCTCCTGTGATTCTTGGCCTACTGTTTCTCTTCTCCACAGCAGCTGAGGCCTAAGTAACACGATGGCTTCTGAGGACCATCAGCTGTGCACTCTCTGTCCCTGCCACCTGCGTCCACCGGTCCTCCACGCACAACTCCCGCTGATGGTCTCCTGCAGTTGTGCTTGGGGAAGTCATGACTTAGAAATGTGCACACAAGCGCCGGTGGTATATAACTCAGCGGACTAAGTGCGCAGGGGCCAGGGTTCGAACCCTGGCTCGACATGCTGCTCCAGCCCCACCCCCAGGTGGGCTGAGCTAGTGACAGAGTCCAGGTGCAGCTGCGCACACGTGTAATCCCAGCACTAGGGAGGCAGAAACCAGGAAGATTACTACGAGTCTGAGCTATGTAGTGAGACCCTGCACACACACACACCCACACACCCCCCCAAAAAAACCCAAACTGAAAAAAGACGTGCATGCACAATCTGTACCTCAAAAACTGGCGGCTTCCTGATGCTGTGACCTCCTGAGCCTGTCTCCCGTCTCCAATATGTGGTAAGCCGTGCCATCTAGTAAGTGAGGACGTGTGGAACCTCTGGGCAGCACTAATTCTACGATAACGTAAACGTGGAAGGCACATACAGCAGAGTCATCAAGGACATGTTTGAGTCCCTCGGAGGAAAACGGCTGCACTTCGAGCCCATGTGAAGTGACACGAATCAGACCCAGAAACACAATAGTTTACCATTCCTCTTAGAAATACCCAAAGTCTAAACCTCTAAGAGCAAAATAAAAGACATATGATAGGAAACAAGAGGTAGTGTGTGGAGATGGGAAGGGGGGTCTAAGCACAGAAGGAGACAGAGGGAGGGGAGGTGAAATGGGAAACAAGGTGTGATCCGTCCGTCACCAACTCCCAGAATGCACTGCAAACCTACTGTGCATGTGGACACACAAGCAGAATAGAAACAGATACATTTATAGAGCTGAAAGTGGCTACGCTGGTAGACGCACAAAAATGAACAGATACATTTGTAGACCTATAAATGGACATATTTTTAGGTTCCCAAATGGATATATTTTTACAGAAGGTGGGGAGGAAGCACCAATTCCCCAATAGCTCAACATAAAGTATTTGAGGATAGCCCTTAAAACTCAGAGAGACTTGTTAGGAAACTGTCTTAAACACTGGGGCCGAGGAGGACTGAAAAGCCTTCACAGGCCCGATTGCCATCACCCCATTGGGAGGTGACAACAGAAGGTTCCTGGGCCTCGTTTTCCAAATTCTCTGTTACCTGTGAGCAGGCTGGAGGACGGGGTAGAGGAAGAGTCCTGCAGCCAGGCCTGGGGTCCTGCTCAGCTTCTGGGCATCCAAAGACTCTTCCTTCACACAGGGTGTCAGCATGGAGCTCAGGGGAAGGTCACCAGCAACAGGGGCCCTTGCAGACCAGGAACTGGAGGCCCAGGGTGCAGCAGACTCGGCCGATGATGAAGGTACCTGGGAAGCCAGAGATGGCAACAGGCAGTCAGAGGACAGACGGGCTGGGGAGGGCGGCAAGGTGACAGTGCCAGAACCATGCCCAACGTCACCCTCCTCTCTGCCAGCTGGGAGGGAAGGCTTGTGACATAACCATTAGAAACCCTGCCTTACTAAATATCTATAGAGCATAGCACTGCAGGGGAGAAGGGCCTGAGGTTCACTACATAAAAGAACACATATACCAAGGCATTCACAGACAGATCATCAAGGGATCGTTCTCACTCCCAGCTTTCCTGTGTCCCCTTGTGTGGGGGACCATTCAGCTTGGCCTCAGTGGGAATCCTACTAGAAGAGTTCAGTCCACAGCAAGGCCGGACACCAGGGGAGACCACAAAAAATGACTGCAAAAGATGGAATTAAATCAACAAAAACTCAACTAAGAAATACAAAGAAACTAGTGATTTAATAACAACTAAGGAAAAGTGAAGGCAGGAACAGAAGGGGGGATCCTAAAAGACCTGATTACTGGGAGGAATAATCAAAGGACAGACATAAATTCCAGGTTTCAGTAATTACATTTAATGCCATAAGCATTGCCAGCAAAAGGAAAAAATTGGAAATAGATAATAGAATAAAAAAAATTATATGCTTTTACATGAAACATACTCTAAAACAACATGAAGGAGAATAAAATCCTCAGGAACAGATTTAACAATGGCTGTGCAAGACTTGTATACTGAAGGGCTGGGGATATAGCTCGGCAATCTAAGCACCTGACCGGTAAGCAAAAGGACTCAGGTTCGATCCCCAGTACCGCATGCTGTGCCAGCCCCAGAACCCGGGCACGCCTGTGCCAGCCACCAAAACCAGGCACAGTGGAGCATGCGACCCCAGTCCTGGGGAGGCTGAGACAGGAGGATCACTATGAGTCTGAGCTGTGTAGCAAGACCTTGTACTAAATACACACATACATAAATACATAGACTTGTACATTAAAAACGTCAAAAATACCAATACAGAAATTAAAGATGACCCATACAAATAGAAAAACAATCCACATTCATAGGTTGAGAGGCTTACTATTAAATAGCAATACAATATAGTTTGCTAAAATAGCAGTATTTCCCAAACTAGTAGATAACTGATTTAATATAATCCCTTATGGACTCTAAAGGTTCCTTCAAGGGCAGCTGATGGTAGTGAAGAAAGAAGGGAGGGAAGGGAAGGTGTTTCTGGGGTTGTCTTCAGCAACCGCATGATTTGGGTCCTTGATGCCTCACATACGGATGGGGACCCAGTGCACAGGGCTCCTAGGTTGCCCTGGCAACAGAGTGTGGATGCTGTCAGGAGCTCAGCTAAGCATGGGCATCACAGCAAAGGAGAGCACTGGTCCATGGAGTCTCGGTCTTTCCAGTGCCAAGACACTCAGATGCCACCAAGGACATGTGCCTGGCCAGCAGGACAGGAAAACTCAGGACACACAGCAGGACCTCAGGACCACAGGCTACCAAAACAGAGTCCAGGAGTCAGGCAGAGGGTCTCCTCCTATGCTGTTTAGCTGCAAGCACAGCCTTCCAGGAAGGGGGACCTGGATTTAGCGAAGGCTTGGTTTGCTACAGATAATAATGAAGGAGGAAACAGTACAACATCACCAAAAGCGGAGCTCTGGAGACAGACAGCGAGCGAAACAGGACCCATGGTCTCCAAGAGGTAGAAGTAATAAACGCCAGTTTCAAGATCAAAGAATGGGGCTCGAAGAGCAGGACTCAGGAATAGGTGGATGAAGATGGATGACTAGACGGAGGAGACCCAGAAAAAAACAGGGCCACCGCTTGCAAAGGATGCGGTGCGCAGAGGTGGCAGAAGGGAATGAGAAGGAAGAGTACCCTCGCAGGGAGCTCTCAAGCACCTGCAGAGACCTGGGGGTTTTCAGGAGACAAGGAGAAGGAGGAAAAGGGGGAGGGGGAAAGGGAAGACAGGGACAGTAAGGTCTGCTGGGTCTGTATGGTAGCAAAACTGAAGAGCTCCTTAATCAGCCACAGAGAACTGGGCCTTTCTGTCACATGGCCAAGAAGCTGGCCCCACCTGAGCCAGAGGAAAAGGAAGCCTGCAATTTACATGCAAAAAGAAAAGGCACAACATGAAACCATTTCTATGATTGCATTTGTGAACATAACTCAACACACACTGTTTCTCCAAGAACGCAAGGAGCAGGAGAACTATTAATTACTTTGGACTAAAAGGAATTTTCCCTTTTCCTTTCACTCCCCTTTGGGCTCCATCCCACCACCCCACCACCACCACCACATCTGAAGTCTCCCCAGGAGTCTGAGGAATTCTGACACAGTAGCAGAATTCTGCTGTCAGAATTCTGAGTTTCTATGGAGAGAAGAAAATCACCGTTAGACTCTTTTGTTTCACCACGGATCCCATAGGCTGAGTGTAGTAGTGTCAAAGTCTGAATTGAAATCCCACAAAGGGCCTCCTCCTTTGCATCTCACAGCCATCAGCGCTAGTGAAGACCCTCCGGACTCCTCCCCACCGACCCGCTCCGGTGCACAGTGAGTGGGCGTCACCTGGCTTCCGTGACACCTGCCTGGCACTTGTCCCCACTATGCCTTTGCATGCACGGGAGGAAGCCCTCCACTCCTCCCCCAGGTCTTTCCACCTCTGAAGGAAGCTAGGGCTGGTTTTCAGCGACTGCTGAGGTTGCAAATTAATATTTCAAGGAACAGAATGGCTCTGTGCAGCGCGGCTCGGCGGGGCCGCAAACGGCGGCTTCTGCATGTGCGATGCGCTTGACGCGACCATGAATAGGAGTCTTGTGTGGCAGTGATAAAGCGCCTCTCTGTTTACCCGCGGAGGACAGTGACAGTCTTGTGTGCCAGAAACACAGGGCCCGCGGTCACCCCTCGTGAGTGGCTCTGCAAGTGGAGTTATTCTGCATTTGCTTCCTCTGGGAGGAATGCACAGCCCGCTCTTCTGCAATGGAGATATCCGTGGAATTCCACCCGGGGAGCAAAGTCACTGGCTCATTGGTTAGCAATTCGGCGGTTTTGTAAACTCTTGTAGTGAAAGCATTTAGCTAATTCTGCCGTTATTCCTCATCTGAAGAAAGCACGCACATACACAGAACTGAGGCCTAGGTGATTAGTTGCTCACCAAGCGCCAACTGCCTTGCCCCACAAGATGCCAAATCCATGCCAAAAGTGGAGCGCATTGTACCAGAGGCATGACCCCCAGAAAATAACAGCGTTAGCACATAAGATAAAGTACACCCACCCTATGTTTAAAGAACACAGAAAGCAATTCTTTTGGCTATTTCACTTGGAAACATAACAGAGTAGATTTATGCCCGCTGATAAAGGAAAAAATTGTCTCCAAAGACCTTACATAGGAAAGCAGCAGCCTGGATGCCTTGGGCTCAGGAGACCGAAGGCCTGTGCAGGAGAGAAGGTGGCACTGTTTTCTGTTGTGAAGATAAATTTGGCAGCTGGGTGTGGTGGTACATGCCAGTAATTCCCCCACTTGTGAGGCTCAGGCAGGAGGACTGCCATGAGTTCAAGGCAAGCCTGGGCTACATTGTGAGACCCTGTCTCAGAAGAAGAAAAAGGAGGGAGGGGAAGAGAGGAAGAAGAGAAGGAGGAAGGAGATGGCATGTGAATTTTTAGTGTAGTGTGTGCATTTCTTTCAAAGCAAGACTCATACAACCTAAGACTATTTTAGTCAGACATAGTGGAACACACCCACAATTCCAACACACTGGTAGGTTGAGACACGCGCATTGCAAGTTCCAGTCCAGCCTTAGTAATTTAATGAGATCCTATCTCAAATTTAAAAAATAAAAATAAAAAGGGTTTTGGACATAGCTCAGTGGCAAGGCAATAAACTCAATCACAGTTCATTAAAAAATAAATCCTAAAATATAATTCACATTTCTTGGAAAAATTTATCAAAACCATTGATCCTTCTTCAGATATATTTGCGTGCCTGGGGGCTGTCCTGTCCCACAGATGATGAGGATGAAGGCATCCTTGCAAAGAAGTGCCCAGCTAATTAACTCTTACTTACTGGAGCAAAGCCTCCATGGGGGTGGCGGTGCCCACCCTAACTCCAGCATTCTGGCAGGCTGAAGCAGGAGGATCATACCAGCCTGAGCACCTTCGTGAGGCACTTCTCAAAACAATTTTTAAGAAGGATGGGCAGCAAAGAGCAGCTCTATGTGAAAGCCCCGGGTCCAATCCTCAATACCATCAAATAAACAAACAAGGAAAAGGTATCAGTCATCAGAAAAGTTATCAGTTATCAGAAAGATAAAATCTGGGTCATGGGTGCAAGTTGTCTATGTCATGAATTTCACTAAACAAAATAGGAATTCAACGATGTTTGTTATATTGCATAATGTTATCTTCAAATTAGTTGTTTAGATTACCAGATATAAGCATGCAAAATTGGGGGAGAAAACGTTATAAGAGGGCTGGCCAAATAGCTCAGCGGATTAAAGTGCCTGCTAGCAGGCACAGGGGCTGGGGGTTTGATCCCTGGGCCTGCCGTGCCAGCCCCACCCCAGGGGACAGCAATTGAGACTGGGTGTGGTGGTGTGTGCCTGTAATCCCAGCTCTTGGGAGGCTGTAAACAAGCAGATCAAGGGGCCGGGGAGATGGCTCAGCAGAGTAAGTGCTTCCCTGGCAAGCACAAAGGACTGAGTTCAATCCCCGGTTCCACCAAAAAAAAAAAAAAAAAAAAAAAAAACAAGCAGATCACTACTAATCCGAGTCTAATCTAGTAGTGAGACCCTAAACACCCTGTGGACCCTACCCTAAAATACAAAAAAAAAAAAAAAAAATTATAAGAAATTTAAAAAGAGAGAAAAAATTAAGCATTAACTGCTCCTTTCAATAGACCAACAGAAATCAGCAGTACAATTATCCAAGCTATCCTGTATACATATATATATATATGTTTTTCTCTTCCTTCTTTCTTTTGCCCTTTTCCTCATCCTAGTTGTTCCTTCCCTT